ATTTATTTTATTTCAGCATATTATGGGGGTACAGATGTTTAGGTTACGTATGTTGCCCTTGCCCCCACTCCCCCCCTAAGTCCAAGTTTCAAATACGTACATTCTTCGGGTGGCCAAGGACCATTTTAAAGAGTCTTTGCAACTCTCCTATTATTCTAATCCGAAATGGAATATAATTCAAAAAATCAAGTGAGAAAATAAGACAGGTAACTGGGAAAAAGATAGTGAAGTTAATATGAGACTCCTTGTAAGATCATATAGTATAATAATAATACAGAGTATTGACCTTCTTGCAAAAAAATGACGTATTACCATGGTCAATATACACTCTCCAGCTCCCCCAGTAACCAAACCCCACATTTTACCTGTTTGTTTATGTCCAAAATCAAAGCCTGATGTTTCTTTTCAGCTTCCTGAAGCTGTAGCTGGTATTCAGCTACTTCTTCTTTCACTTTCCTTTCCTTTTCTACCTGGTCTTTGTGCATACAGTCCAAACTCTTCTTCAAGTCACCATTTTCTAACATGAGCTCCTTCAATTGACCCTAAACAGAAAAGTAGTAAAATCATATTTTTGCCTCCCCATTGTTAAGAACCTAGATACATATCTTTAGGAAATAATGAGTACTATGGGAAAGAAAAAATTGTTTATGGGTAAAAATCTATAGTGCTCTAAAATCCTTAGCACGTATTCACTTTAAATTGTAATTTCACCTCCAGTGATGCTTTCCTGTGCTCCAGCCCAAATGCCCCCAAGGTCCCATCCACAGAGACTAGACTCTTTCTAAAAACTCCATTTCAACTAAACCACTCTGGGACCATACCAGAGTTTAAATAAACTATGCTTCCAACTTAGTTTATTTAAGGTCTTCCATTGTAACAATTCCTCGCCCTCCCAAAAAAAACAACAACAACCTCAAAACCAAGCCCCCCCGGAACTAATTTTGTCTTCCTTGACCAGCTGAGACCCGTGTTCTATCACTATAAGAATTACCTGCCAAATGCCCTCAACTCTTTCGCTCCTCCCTTTGCTGTGAAGGACAGGCAAAACCCCAGCCCTGGAGGCGTCTGTCTCTTCCATGCCTGACCCCAGCAGCTGTTTCTGCATGCGTTTCTACATATGTGGCACCCATTTCCTCATCACTCTTCAGCCCGCTGCACTTGGTTCTGTCCCAGCTCCTTCCGAATAGCTTCTCGTGGCACCATCAACCTCCACGCTGCAAATTCAAGGCATGCTCTCCCGAGCTCATCTCACCAACCTCCAAGTAGTGTCCGGTGCTGCTGACCCCCGCTTCCTTCAAGACACTCCTTCCTCTGGACTTCTAGACCATGACGTTCCCTTGGTTTGCCTCATCGAGACTTCCCAGTTTTCTTTGCTCGCTCTTCTTCCTGCATCTCACTTTGTGTGCTGGAGTCCCTCTGGGCTAGGCCCGGAGCCACCTTCTCTTCTCCACCTGTGCTTTCTACTGTTCTCATAATCTCTAGATACTCCCTAAATGTGGGACTAGCCTAATTAATATTCCTGCCCTAAACCTTCCGTAGCCTTCCTACCCACCCAATCTTTTCTCATGTCATTATCCCTCTGGCTCCAACCACAATGGCTTCCTTTCAATTTCCAAAAAATACCAAGATCTTTCTCATCCCAGAGCTGTCACCACACTGCTCTCTAGACCTAGAAGGCTCCTTCCTCTGCCCAGTCTTTGCATGGCTGACCCCTCATCCTGCAGGTGACATCCTCTGACCACCCTACCTAAAGTAGTTTATTCCCTATCCCCACAGCATCACCTTCACTTCTCAATTATTCTGCAGCAAAGAATCTAATTTGTTTCCTTTATAGCACTTACCAGTTTGTTATGTTATCCATTCCCTATTTCATGATTTTTTGTGTGTCAAGACTGTGAGCTGTATGACTACAGGAACCTCAGGATAGGTTAGGGGTTCAACAATCTA